GATTAATTTAGTATAAAAAAAGTTTATCTTGGGTGATCGCCATATTCACACTATAGTAATCTGAGTTATATTTAACTATAATCATTCTTCAGGTGACTGATGGATCATCAATTAACTATAATAAATTAATTTTTAGTTGGGAGCAAATTCTTCAAGCTTCATTATCAGCCTTAAACAATTTATTCTCAACAATGCATTTTTATCTACAAGCACTCAATTAAGCAATTTATTTTCAAACAATACATCTTCATCTACAAGTGCTCAATCAAGCAATTTATACTCAAACAATACATCTTTATTCACAAGCAATCAATTAAGCAATCAGGAATCCTCTTCAAGCCATCAAGAAGCTAAAGTATATAAATTCTAGCTACTGCAACAAAATTTCAAAATAGGTTCTCAATTTGGATTAGCTAAGAATGATGATAAAAAAATTAGGCCAGAATTAAGTAAACAATTCAGTAATGTGAGCAAAAAATTTTGTATATCGCAGCCATTGCTAATCAAAATTAAGAATTTGTTATAAAAATTTTGTAGTAGTAGCTATAGTTTATAGTTTACATTTTGCAAAAATTTTAAAATTGCAAATTTGTCTAATCTATTATATAAATTAAAAATTGCAGCTATTCTCATTGTTTAAAACCTTTGAACAATTAAATGAGGTTTTAATCTGGATATAGAGAGAATCGACAAGCTTCTGAAGTTCGATATAAGTAAGTACTGTAATATATAAATAACTATATTATTTATTTATATTATTTTTGGTTTACTTATAGTATAATTTTAAATAATATTTATAGCTTTGGAAAAAAATATGGATTATTTTTTAGTCAAGATTAATGCAACCGTGGCAGTATTAAAAGTATTATATTTTTTATATAGGCTATATATATAATAATAAAATATTAATCAACTTTTTTATTTTTAAAAAAGAACACTTTATATATCATTGAAACAATCAAAAATTGTTTCAATAAATCTGAAAAGTGCAAATTCATATCTAGAATTCTGCTTGATGCAATTGGCATATTTGATATACAGGATAATGTAAAGATAAACAAGAAATAAAATTTGTCCAGTCCTGATAGTAAAGGTTGAGTTGACTATACCATCAGGTAGAGCAAAGAAATTATTTGTATAATTGAAGCCAAATTTGGTGATATAGAGCATGGATTTTGTCAGAACCTTGTACAATTAAAAATGGCAGTTTCGGTAAAATATGTTCTTTAAATTATACCAATAGTAAGCTATTATTAATATTTAGTAAAATTTATTATTTGATTTTTTTTATTTATAATATTTATTTTTTTAATTTAGTTTTATTTTATTACTTAAATAAACCCAAATTTTTTAGAAATTTATAATACAGATGATTTTATTTATTATCAAGAAAATAGTAGAAGATTGAAACAAATTTGAGTTATAGTTTTAGCAAATGAAATTCAAAAACTAAAAATTCAAAAAATTATTAAATTTGATTAACTTCCAAAAAATATTCAAAGCAGCAATGTCATGTTAGTTCTCAATTAGAAGAGAAATGTTTAATTGACCAAGTTATTAATAACTTTTAGAAGAATCACGCAACAACCCAAAGGGCATTTATGGTTAAAAATGTTCATTCAAATTTCAGATCACT